GTTACACGTCCTACCTTCAGGATGACTGGCTGACGTTGTTGCCGTCCCGCAGAATTCTCGTACAACAACTCAAGTCACTCAGCGACGGGGCAATCCCCGTTCTTCTCCAATTACGGGTATCATCCCACATTTCTCCCTGATTTGATGCCTGAAAATCCGGTACCCCGGCGTCTCAAGACGTCTTGAACTTCTTTTCTGTCAATAACAAAACAATTCAGGAAGCCATCGCTAAAGCCCAAGAGGACAGTAAGAGGGCGTTCGACAGGAAGAGAAGAGGAGAATTACTGCTTCAACCAGGGGATCAGGTGTGGCTGGCAACGACCAACTTGAAGATGCTGTGTCCTTCAAGGAAGCTGGGACCCAAGTACATTGGCCCATTTCCGGTAAAGCGTGTAGTCAACAAGGTGGCCTACGAACTTGAGCTTCCGCGGACCTTCAAGATACATCCTGTGTTCCATGTATCTCTCCTGAAGCCATCCAGACCGGATTCCTTCCCGGACCGTGAATCCAGACCTCCCGAGGCAGTCACCATAGGTGACCAGGAGGAATACGAAGTGGAGACTATCCTCAGTTGCCGAAAGAGGGGGGGCCAGACACAGTTCCTGATAAAATGGAAGGGTTATGGCCCTGAGGAGAACTCATGGGAACCCGCCCAGAACATTCACGCACCCAGGCTCATCCGGGAGTTTTTTCGTGGTCACCCGCGGTGGAGAGATCAGTGGGACTCCCGGAGGGTGCCCATTGGGGGGGGGCAATGTCAGGGATCACGGCTCTGGACTCCTGTGTCACGACGCCGTCCCCCGCGCATGCGCACTGGCGGCGGATCGCGCCGGGACACGGGCACTAGGTCCCGGCGAGCCGCGGCTGACAGGGAGCCGCGCATGCGCAGTAGAGAGCCGCGGGGCGCGCCTCAGGCGTCCAATGACAGCCGGGGGCGCGTCCTAGCCAGCCAATGACAGTGCAGGGCGCACTATTTAAAGATGCCCTGCACGCACTGTCACCAATTGCCGCAAGGTCTTCCTGTGATCCTGAGTTCCTGTACCCGTTTTGTGACCCTGTTTTTGACCCTGACTACGCTGCCTGCCCCTGTGATTGACCCGGCTTGCCCTGACTATTCTACCCGCTCCTGTGATTGACCCGGCTTGTCCTGACTATTCTGCCCGCTCCTGTGTTTTGACTCGGATTATCCTGACTATTCTACGGACTGATTTACCTGGCTGACCCTGCATGTGACCCGACTACTCCTTGCCCGCCGATTCGGTACCCGGCTTACCCCCACGGGACCACTATCCGTACCACCCTGCCGCCATCCTCTTCATATCTGGCTCTCCCGGTACCTACACACATCCCCGGAGGCCTCCTCAGCCGCTGGTGGGCCCGCTCAGAGGTCGTGACCTGGCCCGGGACTGTTTCAAGTCCATCCCCACCATCAGGGGCCCTGGTGAAGGCACAGCCCGGGCTTAGACCCCACGCTCTGGGTTGGTCTGTCAGTTGGCAGCTGGAAGGTTCCGCCTGGCGGATCATAACACACGTAAGGGAGAGTGGAGGAAGGGGAAATCTTCTTCCTCCTTGAAATCCATCAAGTTATAGTCTCTGAGCAGACTGTGGACCAGTCTGTGACAGTTCTCAATGGACATCCTCTCCTGCTGGTGGATGCGGCAATTCCTGGCACACCATTAAGCGTCCTTGAAGCAACACAGCACCTGCCAGGCGTTATCAATGTCCTGAGTGAATGTTCCACAGAAAAGTCAGTTCAGCGCACCAAAGTGTGTGATGGCTGCCTGTGGCACAAAGTCCTTGAGTTCTGGTTCCAAGGCCCTCAACAGGACCTAAGCAAAGGGGCACTCCCAGAAAACATGCAGAGCAGTTTACTCCTGGATGATGCAAAAAGGGCAGTGCCTGTATCTGCTCAGGTTCCTGGCATGCATAAATGCCCTGAGTGGCAACCCCCCTTGTATCGCCATCCATGCCAGGTCCTTGTGCCTATTGGTGAGTCTCTTTGAAGAAATGTTTCTCCAGACCACTTTTCAAGTGGCTGAAGGCAGGTCTGGAACCGACTCCAAAATGTCCTTGGCTCTGATCAGCTTGTAGATAGTTCTTGTTTGAGTCAGACTTGTCTTCATGCAGCTCCTGCTCCTTGATAAACTTAACCACCCTAGCGGTATGATTATTTCAGATTTTTGGTGCTGAAAGAGGTACCATTTTTTTGCATGGAAATATGTATTTTTTTTTATTGTAGGCCTGTAATTTAGGAATAACTCACTGAAATCTGTCCGAACAAGAGTCTAGTAAACATTCCGGATATGATAAAACTTGAAACACAAAATCATAAATTATAATTTAATAAATAATCATAAAAAATAATAATATAATAATAATGAATTTAATTAAATAATATAATCAAACCAAAAACACTGAAATTTGAAATATAGCGCCAAGTTCGCACATCACTGAGCAAAGTCGCAAAATCGTTTTCAGTGTCTGATGACGAATTTACCCACGAATCATTATCACTCAATTCTGCAAGTGGTTCTGGTTTACTATCGCTGTTCTCTAGCTGGTCTAAAACCGCTTTTGACATAAAGGGACGCTTTTTGGACGCCATGGACTTTTCTAAGTTTCCAGGCAGAAAGAACAGTCAAAATGCAGGCAGGGGACAGGAAAAAGCAGTAAGTAGGGACAAAATGTATGTGAAATGTTTTGAAACATCAATGTTTTACTATGTAATAATCATTTTTTAAAAAATGACATTTTTTTAAAAATTTCAAATTTGCCACCGGTACCGGCGCCCGTACATCCCGACGTCCCGACGTCACAGGGACCAGAACACGGAAGCCGGAGGAGATGGCCGGGGATGCTGAAGGGGATGCATCGCGGGAGCGAAGGACAAGCTAAGCGCTGCAGGGACTCCCTATGCAACGCTGCATGGTAAGCCCGAGTGTAGCTCGGGGTTACCGCTTTTGGTACTGAACCCTTACCCCGAGCTACACTCGGGAATACCGCTAGGGAGGTTAAAAGTGTCTAAGTAATACCAAGGAGCGTCCCAGTTGTAGGGGATGGAACTGTTCCATTTGTCCCATCTGAGGGATCTCCAGAGGAGCAAGAGGAAAAAATATGACATGGAGTGTTTGCCAGAGTCCATTGTTCAGTTCAGTAAAGTCCTGCAGATGCAGTTGCAGGCAAAGAACACCCTCAGTTGGGTGGCGATGTTGGGCACTCCCTTACAGCCTTTGAGGGGTCCTTGAACATGACTGCCCTCTTCACTCTGTCCATCTTGGAGCCCCAGATGAAAAAAACACTGCTCTGGTGATGGCCTTGCAGGTGTTGACCCATGGGGGCCAGGCCTGGGTGATGTACTGCAACACAGGGAGAATCTCACTGCGGAGTACCAGTGTCTTCTCTTCGATGTTAAGTTCTCTGAGGCTCCAAAGTCCAAATTTTTGCTGCATTTTTGACAGTCTCGCTTCCCAAGACTTTAGGGCTGCACCCTCAGCTCCAAACCAGACTCCCAGAATTTTGATATAGTCCGTCTTTACGCTGAAAGGAATGGATGCAGAAGAAGACAGGAACCACTTTCCGAAGAGCATTACTTCTCACTTCCCACATTTGACTTTTGCCCCGAAGCTTGATCGAAGTCCTCACAGGTCTGAACAACCAAGTTAATGGAGTGCTGATCAGCACAGAACACCGTCACATCGTCCATGTAGAGTGAGCACTTCACTTTCTTTCTGTCTGGTCCTGGTGCGGAGATCCTTCTGATCTCTGGATTCTGTCTGATTCATTCGGCTAAGAGCTCTATACAACAAACAAAAGCAGAGGTGAGAGAGGGCCGCCTTACCAGACCCTGGACAGAACCAGGAAGCGGTTAGTTTTCCAGCCATTCACCAACACCGTGCTGCAAATGTCAGTGTACACCAGATCAACATATGAACAAAACATTTCTTGAAGACCAAACCTGTACAGGGCTCTTCACCTAAACCCATGAGAGACACGGCCAAAGGCCTTTTCCTGGTCAAGACTGTGACGGGCACAGCGTCAGACCCCAGCCCTTCTCACCAACTCTCGTGACCGAAGGACTAGCCAATCTAAAACTGCACTGTCACGTGTGTAACAATGCCACACCCAGCTGCACCCTGCACACCAGAGGTGTGTGACTGAAGCAGGGAAACGCAGACCTCAGATATGTTATAAACAATATAATTTATTAACACTAACAGTACAAACATAAACGCAGTGCAATACTAAAACATAATACGCAAACAAACCAAACCACCCACAGATAACAATACATACAAGCAAGCGTCGTCAGGCAGGCCGGGTCAATATCAATAAGGCAGGTAGGTACAGGGGGAGCAAGCGGAGATTGGTCAGGGTCACAAGCCAGGGATCAGAACAGGTAGCAAGCAGCGTGGTACAGAGGGTCAGACAGAGGGTTGGTCAGGAGCGAGCCGGGATCAGAGCAGGAGAAGTCAGCAGCGGTTCAGAAACAGGATGCAGGACAGAAACAGGATGCAGGACAGAAACAGGATGCAGGGCCCAGGACAAACACAACACCAAGGCAGAGTCTGTGGGTCTGGCCATCCCTTAAATACCCCAGCATCATCAGTTACAGGTGTTAGCTGGCTGCAAAGTTGAGTCTCTGATTGCAGGGAACACCCGCTGGCCAGCCCTGGTACTGCAGATCAAAAGGCAGGTGAGTCCCACCATTGCTGGCCAGTCCATTCCTAACAGTACCCCCCCCTCAAGGAGCGGCCTCAGGACGCTCCAAACAGTCCTAGCTGGGCAAAATGTTCCACCGCCCGGGTCTGGCAACTGGCGGGATATCAAAGACTGGCACACCGGGCAGGACTCCGGGCAGCGGCACACCGGGCTGGACTCCGGGCAGAGGCACATCGAGCAGAGGCACACCGGGCAGAGGCACACCGGGCAGGACTCCGGGCAGAGGCACATCGGGCAGGACTCCGGGCAGAGGCACACAGGACTCCGGGCAGAGGCACATCGGGCAGGACTCCGGGCAGAGGCACATCGGGCAGGACTCCGGGCAGAGGCACATCGGGCAGGACTCCGGGCAGAGGCACATCGGGCAGGACTCGGGCCGGGCAGGCAGGAGCTCCGGGCACATCGGGCAGGACTCGGGCGGGCAGAGGCACCGGCATCGGGCAGGCACCGGGCCCCCGGGCGGGGCAGCAGGCACCGGGCCCCCGGGCGGGGCACACAGGCACCGGGCCCCCGGGCGGGGCAGCAGGCACCAGGCACCGGGCCCCCGGGGCGGGCGGCAGGCACCGGGCCCCCGGGCGGAGCGGCAGGCACCGGGCCCCCGGGCGGGGCGGCAGGCACCGGGCCCCCGGGCGGGGCGGCAGGCACCGGGCCCCGGGCGGGAGCGGCAGGCACCGGGCCCCCCGGAGCCAGGCGGGGGCCCCGGGAGCGGCAGGCACCGGGCCCCCGGGCGGGGCGGCAGGCACCGGGCCCCCCGGGCGGGGGCGGCAGGCCCGGGCCCCCAGGCGGGGCGACAGGCACCGGGCCCCCAGGCACCGGGGGGCGACAGGCACCGGGCCCCCAGGAGGGGCGACAGGCATCGGGCCCCCAGGCGGGGCGACAGGCATCGGGCCCCCAGGCGGGGCGACAGGCATCGGGCCCCCAGGCGGGGCGACAGGCATCGTGCCCCCAGGCCAGGCAGGCATCGTGCCCCCAGCGGGCGGGCGCCGGATCCCCCAGGCGGGGAGCGACAGGTCTCGGGCCCTCAGGCGGCGGGCCCCAGGCGGGCGCCGGACCTCCAGAAGGAGCGACAGGTCTCGGGCCCTCAGGCGGAGCGGCGGGCGCCGGACCCCCAGGGGGAGCGACAGGTCTCGGGCCCTCAGGCGGAGCGGCGGGCGCCGGACCCCCAGGCGGAGCGACAGGTCTCGGGCCCTCAGGCGGAGCGGCGGGCGCCGGACCCCCAGGAGGAGCGAGCGAGCGGTCTCGGGCCCTCAGGCGGAGCGGCGGCGGGCGCCGGACCCCCAGGCGGAGCGACAGGTCTCGGGCCCTCAGGCGGAGCGGCGGGCGCCGGACCCCCAGGCGGAGCGACAGGTCTCGGGCCCTCAGGCGGAGCGGCGGGCGCCGGACCCCCAGGAGGAGCGACAGGTCTCGGGCCCTCAGGCGGAGCGGCGGGCGCCGGACCCCCAGGCGGAGCGGCAGGTCTCGGGCCCTCAGGCGGGAGCGACAGGTCTCGGGCCCCTCAGGCGGAGCGGCGGGCGCCGGACCCCCCTCATGGAGCGACCCCCAGCGACAGGTCTCGGGCCCTCAGGCGGAGCGGCGGGCGCGACCCCCAGTGGGCTGGAGCGACAGGTCTCGGGCCCTCAGGCGGAGCGGCGGGCGCCGGACCCCCCAGGAGGAGCGACAGGTCTCGGGGCCCCCAGGCGGAGCGGCGGTCACCGAGACACCAGGCACGACAGTGGGCTCCGAGTCAACTGGTATGACCGCGGGCACTGGGTCAGACATTGGATCGTCTGACCGGACAGCGCGGGCATCGGGTCACCAGGCATCAGGTCATTTGGCTCGACCGCGGGCACCGCGTCATCTGGCAAGGCAGTGGGCTCCGAGTCAACTGGCATGACCGCGGGCACCGGGGCAGACATTGAATCGTCTGGCTGGACAGCGGGCATCGGGTCACCAGGCATCAGGTCATTTGGCTCGACCGCGGGCACCGCGTCATCTGGCAAGGCAGTGGGCTCCGAGTCAACTGGTATGACCGCGGGCACTGGGTCAGACATTGGATCGTCTGACTGGACAGCGGGCATCGGGTCACCAGGCATCAAGTCATTTGGCTCGACAGCGAGCACCGCGTCATCTGGCAAGGCAGTGGGCTCCGAGTCAACTGGCATGACCGCGGGCACCGGGGCAGACATTGAATCGTCTGGCTGGACAGCGGGCATCGGGTCACCAGGCATCAGGTCATTTGGCTCGACAGCGGGCACCGCGTCATCTGGCAAGGCAGTGGTCTCCGAGTCAACAGGCACGACAGTGGGCACCGGGTCATCAGGTACCGGATTGTCTGGCTCGACAGCGGGCATCGGGTCATCAGGTATGACAGCGGACACTAGGTCACCAGGCATCAGGTCATTTGGCTTGCCAGCGGGCACCGCGTCATCTGGCAAGGCAGTGGGCACCGAGTCACCAGGTACGACAGCGGGCTCTGAGTCAATTGGCACGACAGCGGGCACCGGATCAGGTACCGGATCATCGGGGATCAACAGCGGGCATCGAGTTCAACTGGCCTAATATTAGGGATAGAGGTCAGGCTGGATCAGTAGAGGCATCAGGCGAGTAGAGGCATCAGGCCGAGTAGAGGCTTCAGGCCGAGTAGAGGCTTCAGGCCGAGTAGAGGCATCAGGCCGAGTAGAGGCATCAGGCCGAGTAGAGGCTTCAGAGGGCCGAGTAGAGCATCAGGGCAGGTCAGGCCGATAGAGGCCGAGTAGAGGCTTCAGGCCGAGTAGAGGCTTCAGGCCGAGGAGAGGCTTCAGAGTAGCTTCAGGCTTCAGGCCGAGGTAGAGGCTTCAGGCCGAGTAGAGGCTTCAGGCCAAGTAGAGGCTTCAGTCTGAACCACGGAAGGCAGGCTCACCGGTTTGGATACTGGCAGGATGGTATTGGTTGGAAGAATTTTCGCTTTTTTCTGGTTTTAACTACTGGAGCACTGCAAGTAAACGCAGGTCTGCAAACGAATGGAGCAGCTGGAGACAGAGAAGAACTGGAGGATGGAACAGGAGAGGGAGCAGTTGCTACAGAGGGCTTTTTTACAGGATTAAAGGCAGGATAGGTGCAGCGAGTGGGAACAGGGTACTGACATGCGGTAGATAGCCAAGTATACTGGGCTGTAACTGGAGGAGCTGGTGGGAATACAGGAGTAGAGTTAGAAGCAGGACTGGGTCTTTGTAAGCTGACTGAGGCTGGGTGCAACAAATCTGTCCATGTCTGCAGTAGGGGTTGAACAAAGCTGAGCTTACACAAAGCCTGTCTGGTCAATGACTGCACTGCGTTTATACAATCTCGCAGTGTCTGTGGTGAACATGTGGAATAACGCTCCAGAAAGTAACCCACATCATCCTCTAATAACCACACCAGGGACTCTACCTGGTCTGCACTAAATGGTGGCAAAAATTCATCCCTGCATTCGGGGGAACCAGATGAAACCAACTCTGCACAAACCTCAATCAATGGCTGCACCTCAGAGAACACTGTGCCCTGATCTACTAGAACATGAGCGAGCCGTATACATTCTAGCAATTCATCCCGGGTATACTCCTTCAGAGTTTGATAAGCATACTCCCTGTCATCAAACACTAGCAGATATAAATACTCAACCTCATCAAGATCCATCCTTCCCATCAACAAGCCAAGATGGCTTCCCTGTGCAGCCACTTCTGGTCAGGATTGGCCTTGGTGTAATGTCAGGGCTCCCAGGTATGACCAGAGGTGTGTGACTGAAGCAGGGAAACGCAGACCTCAGATATGTTATAAACAATATAATTTATTAACACTAACAGTACAAACATAAACGCAGTGCAATACTAAAACATAATACAGTGCAAACAAACCAAACCACCCACAGATAACAATACATACAAGCAAGCGTCGTCAGGCAGGCCGGGTCAATATCAATAAGGCAGGTAGGTACAGGGGGAGCAAGCGGAGATTGGTCAGGGTCACAAGCCAGGGATCAGAACAGGTAGCAAGCAGCGTGGTACAGAGGGTCAGACAGAGGGTTGGTCAGGAGCGAGCCGGGATCAGAGCAGGAGAAGTCAGCAGCGGTTCAGAAACAGGATGCAGGACAGAAACAGGATGCAGGACAGAAACAGGATGCAGGGCCCAGGACAAACACAACACCAAGGCAGAGTCTGTGGGTCTGGCCATCCCTTAAATACCCCAGCATCATCAGTTACAGGTGTTAGCTGGCTGCAAAGTTGAGTCTCTGATTGCAGGGATGGAGTTAAGCATTGTCGAGTCTGATGAGCTACAAAAGGGATTTTCTGGTCACGCATTGGGTTGCGATGTTGCCGCGAGATTCTCCTTTGCATTTTGTCTGATAGATGTTGTATCGAGACGGTCCTCACTTGTCTGACTCCTTACAAAAACTAACAGCTTCTTTTTCTACACAACATCAACTAGTATCTTCCCTACCTTATTTGGCAGAGGAATTGTTAGGCAGGGCTCAGCATCATACGCTGCTTGCATTCCTGAGGGAGGGGGAATGAGGATATAACGTCTGCTCTTCTGTGCACACCTCCCCCCCACAGGTGTTTGCATAGGAGTTTAAGAGAAATACCAAAATGTATAAGTTTGGGGCAAAATGGAGAACTGTACCTCTCCCTGTGGGCATGATTGTGACAAAGACTGACCAGGGCCTCGTGCACACGGCAATCTTTGATGAACTGGACAGTGTTCCCAACAAGGGCAAGGCTGACTGCAATCCGGTGACCAGGAATGCTGTGAGGGACCGCCTAGCGGCACCACTAGCACTCCACTGGTCAGGCGTGCCCAGAGCGCGGAGTCTAAGCCCCAGGGTACTTGTTCACCAGAGCCCCTGATGGTGGGGATGGACTTGGAGTACCCCGAGACCAGGTCGCCACTACTGAGCACACCTGTCAGTGGTAGGGGTGTTCGCCAGGGGCTCCAACCAGGGAGAGCCAGATGTGATGAGGTCGGGTGACCCCGATGAGATGGATGGATGGATGGATGGATGGATGGCTGAGCAAGTGCAAAGTCAGACGGGCCGAGTTGGTAACGTAGAGAGCGGTATGGTACAAGGGAGCGGGCAAAGAATCGTCGGGTCACACGCCAGGTCAGCAACAGCAGGTCAGATCTCTAATGAGGGGCATTCAGAAGAGAGGTCAGGCAAAGCAAGGGTCAGGGCAGGAGAAATCAGCAGGTCAAAAGCAATCCGGGTCAAACAACTTACTAGGAACAGGTTCAGATTCGCAGGATACTACTGCACATGCGCGAACTCGAACGCCGTGGCCGGCCCGGAACTAGTGCCCATGTCCTTGCACAGGGCGGTGCACTGCGCCTGCGCCGGGACCATCACGGCGGGGATCGAGGGGATCCCTGACATTGCCGGACAAGTCTGGGTGCACGGACATTATGGGCTGGTTCCCAAGAATTATCCTCAGGGCCGTAGCCCTTCCATTTGATAAGAAATTGGGTCTGGCCCCCCCTTCTTCGGCACTTCAGGATTGTTTCCATCTCAAATTCTTCTTCCTCTTCGACTGTTATGGCCTCCGGGGGCCTGGATTCTCGTTCCGGGAAGGCATCCGGGACTACCGGCTTCAGCAGGGATACGTGGAAGACTGGGTGGATCTTGAGTGTCTGAGGGAGAACAAGTTCATAGGCCACTTCATTGACCACCCGCTTAATGCAAAAGGGGCCTATAAATTTAGGTCCCAACTTCTTCGAGGGCAGAGCATCTTCAAGTTAGATGTAACCAGCCAAACCTTCTCTCCGGGCCGCAACACCAGATCTCCTCTTCGTTTCCTGTTAAAAGCCTTATTGTAGTCCTCTTGGGCCTGACTGATGGCTTCCTGTAGTTTCTTATTGTTTGAAGAGAAAAAAGTTAGTGCACCCTGTGTTGCTGGAACTGGGCATTCCGGGACCAAATCCGGGAGGAAGACAGGGTGAAACCCATAGTTGGAGAAGAACGGGGACTGCCCTGTTGCTGAATGGCAAGCGTTGTTGTACGCAAATTCCGCCAAAGGGAGAAGAGGCACCCAGTCGTCCTGAGTAAATGATGTGTAACATCGCAAGTACTGCTCCAGGGTCTGATTGGTCCTTTCGGTCTGTCCATTAGTCTGAGGGTGAAATGCCGAGGAAAGGGATAGTTTGATATCCAGGGCTTTGCACAATGCCCTCCAGAATCTCGAGGTGAATTGAACCCCTCGGTCCAAGACGATGTCTTCAGGGACCCCATGCAGTCTTACAACCTCTCGAATAAAAACTTGCGACGTCTCGGCTGCCGATGGAGTCCTCCGTAATGGTACGAAATGGGCCATTTTAGATAAACGGTCCATGACCACGAGAATTGCTGTGTGGTCTAGTGAAGGTGGAAGCTTGACTATGAAGTCCATAGAGATCTTCTGCCAAGGCCGTTCAGGAATGGGTAACGGACGTAGCAGACCCCAAGCCTTATTCCTTGAGGGCTTGTTCCGCTGGCAGATGACACAGGAGCCCACGTAGTTCTTACAATCCTTGGCCGTGTCTGGCCACCAAAAAGGAACGTCGGAGAAGATCCAGGGTCTTGACCGGGCCAAAATGTCCTGCCAACGGGTGGTTGTGGCAATGTCCCAAGACTAGGGTTCGGGCTTCCTCCGGCACCACAATCCGGTCCTCCCTCCATAGGAGTCCCCCCTTGTTCTGGAGGGGCGCCCCATCCAACGCCTAAAATCAGAGGCGTATTCCTCTGCCGCTCGCCGCCCTTTTCGGAGTGTGTATAGTGTGGCCTCAGCCGAGGCTGCCCGTTGTGGATCATCGTATAGGATGGCCATAGCGTTAAAAAAATTGTCAACCGAAACCAGATGTGGATCATTGTTTCCCCTGAGTCGGTGGGCCCAGTCTTGGGGTTCACCCTGCAACAGGGAGATAACAAACCCCACCTTCACTGATTCTGTCAGAAAGGTTCGTGGTTGCAGTTCAAAATAGAGCAGGCAGGAGTCACGGAATGACCGGAAGCGTGTGCGATCCCCGTGGAAGCGCTCGGGTAAGGGTACTCGGGGTTCCGCCACAGGAAGTGATGCGGAAGGCCCGGGAGCTGGCTCATGGGCTGCTGCGACCGGGGGTGCAGGAGCCGGGGCTTGTGAAACAGGAACAGATATAGTGCAGGCCTGGAACCGGTTCTAAATCTGCAAACATCTGTCCTGTAACACGTTCACAGCTTGCGTCAGGGTAGCCAGGTGTCTGCAAACTTCCTCCATTGGGGAGGGTCCTCCTCGAGGCTCAGTCATGGCCTTCTGGTACTGTGAGGGACCGCCTAGCGGGACCACTAGCACTCCACTGGTCAGGCGTGCCCAGAGCGCAGAGTCTAAGCCCCAGGGTACTTGTTCACCAGAGCCCCTGATGGTGGGGATGGACTTGGAGTACCCCGAGACCAGGTCGCCACTACTGAGCACACCTGTCAGTGGAAGGGGTGTTCGCCAGGGGCTCCAACCAGGGAGAGCCAGATGTGAGGAGGTCGGGTGACCCCGATGATGGATGGATGGATGGCTGAGCAAGTGCGAAGTCAGACGGGCCGAGTTGATAACGTAGAGAGCGGTATGGTACAGGGAGCGGGCAAAGAATCGTCGGGTCACACGCCAGGTCAGCAACAGCAGGTCAGATCTAATGAGGGGCATTCAGAAGAGAGGTCAGGCAAAGCAAGGGTCAGGGCAGGAGAAATCAGCAGGTCAAAAGCAATCCGGGTCAAACAACTTACTAGGAACAGGTTCAGATTTGCAGGATACAGGTAGGACCAGAAGGCACTGAATGACAGCTCAGGGCCATTTAAATATCTCGCCCTGTGCTGCCATTGGTGCCCAGCGGGCGGCCGCGGCTTCTACTGCGCATGCACGAACTCGAACGCCGCGGCTGGCCCGGAACTAGTGCCCGTGTCCCTGCACAGGGCGGTGCACTGCGCCTGCGCCGGGACCATCGCGGCGGGGATCGAGGGGATCCCTGACAAATGCTGTAAGTCTGATCCGGGTGGATGATCTATCTGATGACTGCCTTCAGCTTGTTGGCCAGTACCTTGGTGAGGATCTTGTAGTCCACATTCAAGAGAGAGATGGGATGATAGTTTTTCAAATCACATCTCCTATGCTTATAAAAGATCGTGATCATCCCTTGCCTCAGTGAAGGAGGCATTCTGCCCTCCACCCCCATGTCCTTGTACAGCTCAAGCACGTCTGGGCCCACGAGATCCCCCAGCGCTACATAGAACTCTGCTGGGAGACCATCACAGCCCGGGGTCCTGCCCAGCCTAAAGGATCTGATGACAGAGTGCAACTGTTCCAATGTTAACGAAGCATTGGTGGTCGACAAACCTGCAGGATCAATAACGTTAGTGATACCTGACAAGAACCTGTTGGCCATTGTTTTGTCCATGTCTTTGTGGCAGTAGAGGTCTGTGTAGTAGTTGCTGACCACTTGCATCAAGGCATCCTTCCCCTTCTGGAGAGTTCCAGCCTCGTTGCGCAGATCCGACAAGTGTGTGTCCTGAGTGGAGATTCCTGAAAAAGAAATGATTGCACTTCTCATCTTTCTCCTGATTCTCCACCTTAGCATGGAAGACAATCTGCCTGGATTCTTCTTCAAAGCGTACTTTCAGGCTCTTCTTGGTGTCCTCCAGGTCCTGCCTCATGTCCCAGACACAGTGTTGAAGGTCCTGCAGGGACTGCAACTGGCATTGCAGTCTCCTGAGGTCCCTCCTCCTGGCTTCTTTTTTTTCTATACCAGAGTTTAGTGTCATGCATGTGACTATTGATCATAGACATGGTTATGTAGATGTTAGAGTGATTGTAAACCCTCACCTTGTAAAACAACCCATTCAATTTAAAATAGAAATGAAAGGCAAAACATTTTTGTATAGATATAAATAACATTAGAAATCTTTTTCCCCCTTTTTTTAAGTGATCACATTCCCTCTGTTCTCAGCTGCATATGAGCTGGGTGAAGAGTAACAGCACCAAACTGAGCTTCCCAATGAAAGGCTGTGCAGGGGGGTGGGGGTGTTAGGACAAGTCTGATCATTGGAGATGAACATGCTGAGTTTCCAGCATTGCTAGAGAACTGACCACACTATGCTCTCATGCCTATTGTATACAGTTTTTGAATAGGAAAGCAGGGGGACTGGCAGGAACTCCAGGGATTACACACAAAGGAAGCAGTACAAAGATAACAGGATACTTTCCATACAAGTACATGGTACAGAAGGCACATATCAGGAATATGAAATGTTGGGTTTACATATTTTTTAGGGAGATAACCATCCAAGAACTTTTTAGCACACACTGAGGTTTTGAATGCACCAATGCAGACCTGGAAAAATATTGCACCCCTGGAGAAGTAGAGCAGATTTCTGCTTGTTTCCAATTAGAGATGTTAACTGATGGTTTGTGGAAGATGAATCTCGACGAATCACGCTGGTGAATCAAACTATAGTGTTTATGTTGGCTTATTGATGCCATAACCACACAGAGAGTGCATTGTGCAACAGGCAGGCATTAATTCCTTCTTTTATTTATTAAAGTATTTATATAAAGCCAACAATTTACGTATTGCTTTCAATAAATATTGTACATTCACATTAGTCCCTACCCCTCAAGGAATTTAAAATCAAAGGTCCCTACCTCACATTCATACATACACATACTAGGGTCAATTTAGACAGCCAATTAACCTACTAGCATGTCTTTGGAAGGTGGGAGGAAACGCACACAAACAGACAGATGTGCCAACCACTAAGCCACTGTGCTGCCCATCTATAGTCGCAAAACATTTTGTAAAATGTATTTTTTCATCCAAACATAAACAAAAAGCACATTTTTTTCTTTATCCCAGGCAGTGGGGCTGGGCACACACTGCAAAGGTTAACTGCTTGTTTACTCTTTGCACTTTAACTTACCTGATCCTCTGATCCCCAAAAAGACATCACTTTCCCACTCTTTGGCAGTGACTTTTCCATTGTGTCATCACGTCCAATGCAGGGCTATGGACCCTGCAATAGTCTTGATGATGGCAGAACTTTAGATTGTTGGAGCATGGTTAAAACATGCTGGGGCCACTCTAGTAGTACGGAGGAGTAGGTAAGTAGATCTTTTTTTTTTTTCAATGTCCCCATACCTAAACAAGCAATTAAGTTGGGCTTGAATGACACTGTATCGCCAAAAGTATTGGGATGCCTGCCTTTACACGCACATGAACTTTAATGGCATCCCAGTCTTAGTCCGTAGGGTTCAATATTGAGTTGGCTCACCCTTTGCAGCTAAACCAGCTTCAACTCTTCTGGGAAGGCAGTCCGCAAGGTTTAGGAATGTGTCTATGGGAATGTTTGATCATTCTTCCAGAAGTGCATTTGTGAGGTCAGGCACTGATGTCAGACGAGAAGGCCTGGCTCACAGTCTCCGCTCTAATTCATCCCAAAGGTGTTCTATCGGGTTGAAGTCAGGACTCTGTGCAGGCCAGTCAAGTTCCTCCACCCCAAACTCGCTCATGCATGTCTTTCTAGACCAGCAATGGGCAAACCATGGCCCGCGGGCCGTATACGGCCCGGCGAACCTTTTAATCCGGCCCACGGGGCTAGGCTCCTCTCACAGTCCGCCCTGAAGACCAGTGTAGCATGAAAATCTGTCTCCTATGAGGATCTGTCCCCTCGACGTATCTGCGTATGTGCCGGAGATCGCCGATCGACTGCTAATGCCTGAAACTGGCACATGCGCAGATACGTCGAGGAGGACAGATCCTCATAGGAGACAGATTTTCATGCTACACCGGAACGGCGCGGGAACACGGCGAGAGGAACGCGCGGAGCAAAGGTAAGTGAATTGACACAGGGGGGACTTGGGGACTTAATATGGGGGATTAATTAATATGGGGAATGAATTACTATATGGGGGATGAATTACTATATGGGGATGAATTACTATGGGGGATGAATTACTATGGGGGATGAATTACTATATGGGGGATGAATTACTATTGGGGGGATGAATTACTATAGGGGGGATGAATTATACTATAGGGGGGATGAATTACTATATGGGGGATGAATTACTATGGGGGATGAATTACTATATGGGGGATGAATACTACTGGGGGATGAATTACTATATGGGGGATGAATTACTATATGGGGGATGAATTACTATGGGGGATGAATTACTATATGGGGATGAATTACTATATAGGGGATGAATTACTATATGGGGGATGAATTACTATATGGGGGATGAATTACTATGGGGATGAATTACTATATAGGGGATGAATTACTATGGGGATGAATTACTATATGGGGGATGAATTACTATATGGGGGATGAATTACTATGGGGGATGAATTACTATATGGGGGATGAATTACTATGGGGGATGAATTACTATATGGGGATGAATTACTATGGGGGATGAATTGCTATGGGGGGGGGTGAATTACTATATGGGGGATGAATTACTATATGGGGGATGAATTACTATATGGGGATTAATTACTATGCTTACTATGGGGGAATATTACTATACTTACTATGGATGACACATACACATCATTCATCTACTCTTGGTCCGGCCCCCGGGTCCAATATATGAACCCAATTGCGGCCCTCAAGTTAAAATGTTTGCCCACCCCTGTTCTAGACCTTGCTTTTGTGCACTGTTGCACAATCATGTTGGAACAGGAAGGGCCATCCCCAAACTGTTCCCAAAAAGTTGGGAGCATGAAATTGTCCAAAATGTCTTGATGCCTTAAGAGTTCCCTTTACTGGAACTAAGGGGCCAAGCCCAACCCCTGAAAAACAACCCCACACCATAATCCCCCCTCCACCAAACTTTACACTTGAATTCAGATAAGTGCCAAACCCAGACACGTCCATTGGATTGCCAGAAAGAGAAGTATGATTTGTCACTCCAGAGAACACGTCTCCACTGCTCTAGAGTCCAGTGGTGGCGTGCTTTACACCACTGCATCCAAAGCTTGATGATGTAAGGCTTGGATGCAGCTGCTCGGCAATGGAAACCCATTTCATGATGCTCTCTATGCACTTTTGTGCTAATCTGAAGGCCATACAAAGTTTGGAGTCTTTAGCTATTGACTCTGCAGACAGTTAGTGACTTCTGCGCACTGTGCGCTTCAGCATGTGCTGACCCCGCTCTATCATTATATGTAGCCTACCAATTCGTGGCTGAGTTGCTGTTGTTCCCAGTTGCTTCCACTTTGTTATAATACCACTAACAGTTGAACCGTGGAATATTTAGTAGCAAGGAATTTCTCGGATTTACTTATTGCACAGGTGACAACCTATCAGAGAACCGCATTTGAATTCACTGATTTCCTGAGAGCGACCCATTCTTTCACAAATGTTTGTAGAAGCTGTCTGCATGCCTAGGTGCTTGATTTTATAAAAAATATCTGTGGTCATGAAGGTGTTTGGAATACCTGAATCCAATGATTTGGAGGGGTGTCCCAATACGTTTGCAATATAGTGTATATCTAAATTATATTTTTCATAGTTCTATAACTTATTGAGTACATAGAGCTGTTCAAAGCACACATACCCACTCTAGGGTTGGGGAAAAAACAGCTATGGACCTGGAAGTCCTTCTGATTTTGTCTCTATGACTAAGTTTCTTATGAAATGCATCAGAGAGAGGAGCCAGTTTGGGTTTGTAATAAGCAGAACCTCTCCTCTGCTTTCCCCTTCTTTCCTTCTATCTTCTTTAACCCAGGAAGGCCTCTAATCAGGTCTGGAAGTGATGAAATACACTAGAAGGTTTGCAGCATATGCTACTGCCAATGTGGTTTCATAATTGTACATTGCTGGGTTGAACTAGAAAGCATCAGTAGCTGCAGGAAGCAAGAACAGACATAAAAAGAAGATACAAACTCCATACAGATAAAGTCCCTGGTGGGAATACAAAGGCAGACTTACAGGAGAAGAGTACTGTGCCTTGCTTGCCAAGACCAAAATTTACAGTTTTTTCACCCCTTTCAAGAATAATCTCTATTATATTTAATGACATTACACTGCATATTAGGGCCTATTTGTTTCACCATAAAAGGAGAGATTTATAATTCTTAGTACAAGTCCTTTATCATTCTGTAGAAACAGCAAGCATTTTCCATCCCTTTCTTTGACCCACAAAGAAAGATTTAGCAATGACATTTATTTTTCATTATAAAGCCATGGATCCTGCTATGGGCAATTAGGTTGGAGAAAAAGAAACATTTAAGAACTTGTTTCAGTGAAAAGCCATGGATTATTGTAGTGTTTTTTCACAGCACTTAATGTGAGTACAGTAGGAAAAGAGTTAAGAAGAGGCAAAAGAATGCTTGTCAAAAGATTTTAAGCATAAATTTAATGGTCTAAAGTCTAGAACACATGTCAAACACAAGGCCCATGTGCTGAATCCAGTCCGCCAGGCCATTTCATGTGACACTCACACCTCTCCTGCAGTTGGCACCCCCCTCGTCTCTGCCTCCCACCTTGTCTCAGCAGTCAGCAGCAGGGTAGAGGACAGAACTCCTAAGGCAGATCCTGTGTGTGGGGAGGTAAAGCATGGTTCTGGTAGTAAATACATGGAGTCTAAATGAGGTAAACTTGAAACTTACATTGAGTAAAATTAGGGATGCACCGGTTTTTGGTGCCGATATGAAGTATTTTCACGAGTGCTCGTGAAAATGCTTCCGATACCGGAAACCGATACTTTGCAGTGCGATTTGCGTCCAGGGGCGGACTGACAACTCATGGGACCCCCTGGCAATAGGGGATCATGGGGCCCCTGTGTCCTTGCCCAAACTCAAAAAGCCTATGAAAAAGGTACCAGGGGCATCTTATGGGGCCCCCTACTGACCCCGGGCCCTCGGGCAGTGCCCGAGTTTCCAAATGGTCAGTCCGTCCCTGTTTGCATCAATACAACATGCAAATTGCACTGCAAAGAATAGCATGTGATTTGAACGGGAATTGAATTCCTATCCAAATTGCATGCAGTTTCCCCTCTGCTCCTGTGTTTACCCAGGTTTGTGTTAGCCTGAGTTTATACAGGAGCGGTGAGGGAAGCCTCCCTGCATCGATCTCATGCTGATCAAAGAGTGGGAGTGTGGAGATGTATACCATGGGGGCAGATGCTCCGTATTCTCAGCTGTAGAAGAGGAGAGAAATCAGGAGATTTGAAATCCCCAGACTTGTGAATCAGCTTCCTCTGCTCTCCTCTCCTTGCAGGGATGACAGTATTGGCTAGATGGCTTCTGATTGGTCAGTACTGTCCATGTGACGGTGCTGACCAATTAAAAGCCCTCTAGCCAAATCTGTCATCCCTGCAAAGAGAGGAGAGAAAGTTGAGGGGATTTCAAATCCCTGTCACTTTCTCTCCTCTTCTACAGCTGAGAATACAGAGCATCTGCCACCAGGTATACATCCCCACACACCCTTCTCTTCCACTCTCCTCTGCAGGAAACCTCCTTGCACTGCTCCCATGTGAACTTGGGCTATGACAAGCCTGGATTCACACAGGAGCAGTGGGAAAACAGCACTGTTCAGATTGCATGCTATTCTTTGCGGTGCAATTTGCGTCCATACATTTTGTATTGACGCAAATCGCACCACAAAGTTTGGGTACTCGGTATCTGCGAGTACTTGACCAAAACTATCGGTACTCATACTTTCCGATCAAAGAAGGGTATTGGTGCATACCTAATTAGAATGGCAAGGTTACAACCGGCTTGCAGTAAGGGATGGAGTCTGAGAGGAACACTGAAAGGAGCGGCAGCTCAGCTGCTACACTGGTCCCAGACGCCCAGCTTCTTCCTCTGTCCTTTCTCCCCACCCTCTCTGCTGCCCCTCCCCTCAACTGAAGGATCATTCATGACGCAGCAGCGTTCCACGCGATCAATCAGCATCCTCTCCCCTCACCGCGACCATTGTCCGTTCCCCTCCTCCTCGTGTCACCTCCATGACCCACCATCCTACTAGGCTCAGGTCACCTCTGATGGCTTCTGCTGGAGTCCAGGTTGCTGCTCTCAGTGAGAACAGGCGGCCTCCCAGCACTAGATCCCTTTCTTCTCACACATTGGGCCCCGATTATCCCACTCACATAGGGTTAACCCTGAAACCAGAGCACACCCCCACCTATTGATTGGCTGCAGCTGTGTAGAAGAAGGTGGAGCCAGCTCTGGACATGCCCCATCCAGTCACTAGCCGGCTCCCTGTTAGAGCTGGAGGAGTGTGTGCCAGTGTGTGTACCGGAGATGTACGGACCAATCCTCCGATCAGAGACTGTTGACCGCTAATGAAGTGTGTCATCACTTCCCATTCTAGGGGAAGCCGACACTTCATTGCTACATGGAATACTGTTGTGTGTGTGTGTGTGTGTGTGTGTGTGTGTGTATATATATATATATATATATATATATATATATATATATATATATATAAATATCAGTATACACACATATATGTACTAAATGATCATGTGTGTGGACAGCCTGTGGGATAATTGTGCAGAATAATGATACGATAATTCTCTTATCATTCCCTGTGTATAAGGAGAGGGAGACTCTGCAGAGAAATGAAGAATTCATACAAGAGATCCATAGGCTGTGCCCAAATGCCCTTAGGTGGCAGTGCGCCAGGGGTAGACTGACCATTTGGAAACTCGGGCACTGCCCGAGGGCCCAGGGTCAGTAGGGGGCCCCATGAGATGCCCCTGGTATCTTTTTCATAGGCTTTTTTGAGTTTGGGCAAGGACACAGGGGCCCCATGATCCCCTATTGCCGGGGGACCCATGAGTTGTCTGTCCGCCCCTGCAGTGCGCCCTAGGTGGCTGCATAGTTTGCCTAGTGGAAGCACAGTTCCTGATGGCCTGGCCAGTCCAGTTCCAAATTGGGGGGCTCCTCTCCAGAATAACGATGACCTAGCCTGTCCCTTTTCATCTAGAATCTTCCCCTGCTGCTAGTTACTTTCCCTAACAAGCGGGGTCTCTTTCCCTTCACTAGCCACAAAATGCATGCCATAACTCAGTGCAGGGACTTAAATAGACCTCGCTGACCCAATATGGCTGCCAAGGGTCACCTAGCCACAGCAGAGTGAACCACAACACTGCTCTATTGACCTGGAAAACATAGAGAAATGGTGTTTTCCTTGAACTTCCTCTCCTGCCTGTGGTACCTCTCAGATCGAGCGCCACCTACAGTGAAGAAACAGACTGCACTTGCTTACATGCGCTTCTCTGTGCAGCCGTGGGGAGGCTCATGTCTGACACCCCTCTCCACACCCCCATCTCAGGAGTCAGCAGTAGAGAGGACAGAACTCATCCTACAGATCCTGCACCTCTCTGTGCAGCTGCAGCATCCCCTCGTCTCCACCTCCCTTAGTGTCAGCATTCAGTAGACTTCAGCAGCTGACTCCAGCCCTCCTATGGTTCTCCTCCAGACCCTGTACCTTTTGCTTCCCAGCTTTTTCCCAGCAGCAGCAGGACAAGCTAAATGGGGGTGCACTGTGATGTAAGGGAGGGTGAAGGACTCTTGACTTCTGATAGTGGGGGGGCTCTTGACATCTGATGTAAGGGGAGTGGAGTGCTCTGGACATCTGCTTATAATTATTATGAGAATAATACAAAAGGAGGGTTGCACACCGCTGGTATCATCCACAAGAAACTTTATTGAAGACTGCCCAGACAGCACACCATGGCAGAACAATGTTCTGTCTGAGCAGTGTCCAATAAAGCTTCTTGTGGATGATACCGGCAGTGTGCAACCTCCTTTTCAGACTTACATCATCTGCTACAGGTGTGTGAGTGGGCTCCGTGCCGGTCTGCACTTGCCCTGCACAGCCTAAAGCAGAACTTGACTCTTTCCATCAGCAATGACTATTTTTAATCCTTATGCTACTATCATTAGTAAATAGACAATAAGGTATAATATATTTACTTGTTTTAAACTTTTTTGTACATTTCTTCAGTTACTTCCTGGTTGCCAAGCCTAGGCAAATTATGTCATACATTCCAGGAGTCTTTGGGAGGGGAGGAGGGGTTTTCTCAGCCAAGCCAACCCTCCTGCCTGCATGCCTGAGCTAAGGGCAGATGGATTATAGGAAGTAAATGCTACATGAATCATTTGTCCTTACGCTAGATGGTTGCAGCTAGAAATGCTGGAGGGTGTTCATTAAAGTGATTTCTCAGAGAAATAAAGCATGGAGACATGAATGGATGATTGAGTTTGCTGTGAATATTAAAAATTAATATATAGCATTGTAGGTTTGTGGTGCTCATATGCAGTGCAGTTGTGCTTTAGGTCTTAAAAGTGTTACTAAACCCACAATAATAAAATCAGTCTGTATATGCAGTAAAGCGTGCTTGTTATACTCACTGTGGATCCTAAGTGGTTAATCCTCCACAGTTTGTAAAAAGGCTGTCTGATCCTGTCTTCTCTGATCTTCCCCCTTTTCCACAGTCCCCAATCCATATGCTGATAGTACAGAACTCTATGAGACACTCTGCATATCCTCTGTCTGGTGTGTATTGCTACAGAGTTGGGGTTTTTTTTTTGGAGGGTGCATGTGATCAGCATAGGGCTAATCAGCACTGTCCAGACAGAGGGTTGGGGTTATGCAGCCTCATAGGACAGTCAGAGGAGAGTGAAAACTCCTCCTTAAAGATTAACCAGTACTTGGCTTGACACTGATAGAAGTCTCAAGACTCCTATATACTGCTGATGAGAAAAGGTATTTAGCAGTTTATATTTCCTAAAATAATTGCATTTCCATGTTCTGTGTACTGTGGGAGACCAGATATAGTGAATGCAGGGTCCTGGGTTTAATAACACTTTACGTTATTACTAAAAGCAGTAATAATTGAATGCAGAGGCAACTATATGAAAAAGAGTATATACATTTATATAGTCTTAGAGAAACAACTGGCCATTTGAAGGCGACCATAATGCAGATGCAGCTTGTGATAAAAATGGAGTTTCACACCCCTGGTCTAGAAGGTAGCACATCTTTCTTTTGTACAACTTCATTAAGCTGAGAGTTAACCAGTTCCAAAAGAATGACATTGCCATCTAGTGGTACAGTTTAGCTAAGCACAGTAAAGTGTGGCCATTTGAAAACCGTAGGTTCTACCGTACATTTTATAAAGGGTGGTGCAGCTGGAGTCTCAATAGTAGCAGCTCCTACTCCAGGCCAGTTGACACAATGAGCCCTTCACTTCCATGCAATAAATTTGCAGTAAACTGTGTGTATGGGTGATGGTAGGGGCAGTAATGATGTGCCCAGCAAGTAAGAAAGCATTAAAGGGCCCTACAAATGTAGCTCCACCACTGTGAGTGATACAGATTCAAGTGTTCAACATTTTTAACTGTTTTTCAAGCTTTTTAACACACATTATAGTACACATTAGCAATACTACATGCTAATTTCCTATTTACCATTTCCATTGCATCGTGTATTGTTTTGAGCTGTCCTTAGTGCTGATCTTGTGCTTTTTAAAACTTGGAGGGTTCAGCTTTACTTTTAATAAGCAATTACTTATCTGGAATTATCCTTAAAAGAGAAGAAGTTTTTCCCCCCCAAAATTATACTTACCAATGCTGCATCTGTCCCTCGCTGGCTCTAAGTGTGACAATTCAATGACCGCTGATCGCTGAGTTCTCACCGCTGTTAAGAGCTCGGGAGGCCAGCATTCACCTCCGCTTAAATGTACAGTACATGTGGCTCCACCTACTAAACCCACTGGTACCTCCATTAAATTCATTAATATTTATAGAGTATCCCCAATCTTCATATAATTTATATGATACCAATACTTGTATGCAATATTTAAAGAGATAAAACTATATAAATGAATGGCTCCAGAAAAACTATGTTTTAATGCACACTAATATCAGTGCCATCCTGTGGACCTGTTTTTTTTTTTATTATTATTAAAAGTAAAGCTGAACCCTCCAAGTTTAAAAATCACAAGATCAGCACTAAGGACAGCTCAAAACAATAATAATTTTAACCAAAATATTTATTAATAAAAATAATAATATCTGAATTTATCAGAAATATACTGTAAAAACATATTGGAGATATCCTATACAGTATATTACTGATAAATTGAGATATTATTTTTTTTATTAATAAATATTTTGGTTAAAATTATTATTGTTTTGAGTTGTCCTTAGTGCTGATCTTGTGATTTTTAAAACTTGGAGGGTTCAGCTTTACTTTTAATTAAAAAAAAAAAAATAGCGTACCTGTATCTCCAATTGCCTTTGTGACACACCAAGTATAGTAGGTATTGCAGGTACAATATTAGCTAAAAACCTTTAGTATGTTGTTTGTGATGTTATCCAGAGTCTCCTTGTGGAGGGGGAGGGAGCAGCTGGCTCAGGCTCTCAACAGATCTGGCTTGGACTGGCAGAGTGTTGTTAGCCGACAGCAGGCCTCAGCCCGCTGTCAGCGAAAAGGGATCACCAGAGTGCAGAACGATCTGCACTCCTGTGATCCACAGGAGAATTACAGCCAAAAGAGCTTTGGCTATACTTCTCCTTTAAGGGCCCTTTCACACTGGTGGACTCCGCCAAGCAAGCGGATCTGCTTGCTCAGCGGGGGATCTGCCTGCTTATCCTCGCTGAGCAGGCAGATGACAGGTCCGTGTTCACACAGCTTGTGCAGAACAGACACGGACACCCGTTGTTCTCTATAGGGTGAATGTGAATGGACAACCTTTCCATTTACATCAGACTGTCATCCGATCCGCTAGATCGGGTGTCGGCAACCCGCGGCTCCGGAGCCGCATGCGGCTCTTTTTCACCTTTCCTGCGGCTCCGGAGCACACTGCCCACCAGGTGACAGGCAATAGGGTCGGCAAGCCGCGGCTCTTTTAATGCAGCTCTTCTATGTGCCGGGCGCCCGCTCCCCTCCCTCCTCCAAACATTGGCTGTCAGGATGTAGGCGGGCAGTGTGACGAACTCCTCTCCTCTCACAGTCCGCCCTGAAGACCAGAACGGCATGGGAACACAGCTAGAGGAACGCGCGGAGCAAAGGTAAGTGAATTGACACAGGGGGGATGAATTACTATAGGGGGGATGAATTACTATGGGGGATGAATTACTATATGGGGGATGAATTACTATGGGGGATGAATTACTATATGGGGGATGTATTACTATATGGGGGATGTATTACTATATGGGGGATGAATTACTATATGGGGATGAATTACTATGGGGGATGTATTACTATATGGGGGATGAATTACTATATGGGGGATGAATTACTATATGGGGGATGAATTACTATGGGGGATGAATTACTATATGGGGGATGAATTACTATATGGGGGATGAATTACTATATGGGGGATGAATTACTATGGGGGATGAATTACTATATGGGGGATGAATTACTATATGGGGGATGAATTACTATATGGGGGATGAATTACTATGGGGGATGAATTACTATAGGGGGGATGAATTACTATAGGGGGGATGAATTACTATAGGGGGGATGAATTGCTATAGGGGGGATGAATTGCTATATGGGGGATGAATTACTATGGGGGGATGAATTACTATATGGGGGATGAATTACTATGGGGGATGAATTACTATATGGGGGATGTATTTTCAGTTTTAAAAATGTTTCTCTCAAAATAAATTTCAATCGTGGTTTTGGCGAGATTTGGCTCAGTTGAAAAAAAAGGTTGCCCACCACTGACCTAAGGCTATGATTGTGATTATGACGATACACTGTGGCCCTTATTAACCCTTTG